AGATTTGTTCGTTGTGTCTAAGTAGTTCAAAATTCGATTGTGAAATTAGTATTACACTATTCGTCTAATAAAAAGCTTTCAGTCTTTCACAATTCCTAAAAAGAAAATATTTTATCAAAAACAAACCACAGATAATAGTCGATCATTGAAATTATCAATAAAACAACAAATTGGTTTAAAAGGGTATGGAATTAATTAAAGCTTTCGATCTTTCTTACTAATGTTGAACAATCTGATAAACAATATATATTGCTGTACAAACATATTGTACACATAGTCAAATTTCGTCATTTCAAAAGAAACCTGTTCACTTGAACACTAGGAACAACATTAACATATATTATCGATGATATAGAAAATATTTATTTCTTCCAAAGATCTGATTAGCTATGTCTTGTAACTATAAAAACAGATTCATTTAACTGTTTACATTAATCTATATGAATTAAAGTTTAGTGTACAAGAAATTCAACGAGCATCAGTTCATATATTACAAACAGATGAGAATCGATTAAATCACAGCTGTATATTCAACATTGATAGAAACACAACATCATCGTATCTTATTTTGATTGCTTTAATGAGAAACATACACACATGATATTTCTCAAACAATATGTTTGACAGACTTAACAGAACATTTAGTGATATTATACTTATCTTTATTTCTTTTTTATAAACGTGACAAGGTCTATCACAAGTTATATGCATAAATTAATTGAACATCAATTCGAGCCGTCGAGTATATATATAAAATGCTTCTCTCGTGGGTGATACGATATATAAGTACATATATGCGTCTAGAAAATATTGTAAACACTTACTACTTTCCTATTAAAATGACGGGTATAATTCATAGATAGTACATGTTGCAAAAGTTACCCATTAATATTTATACTTGTACAGAAAAAGGGCGTACACTACACTATATGTGTATGTTTTATAGAAAGCAGAGTAGTGAAATTGAAGCACAGTTGAAAAATTGAATAAACAAAAATTAGTTTGAACTCTTTTTCTGCAGAATGACACAAGTTTCTGTTTTGTCTGTTGCAAAAAATAAGTGTGCACAAGTTTATATCTAACATAAGTGTTGGCAAATAGCTTTTAATACTATTAAAATGGAATAGCCAGGATTTGTTTCGAAAAAAAAAACTAACTTTATTGCTATTAGCCTTGAAGTTTCGTACAATCTCGTCAATTAGTTGAACACATTTTACCGCCAGTAAGTAGTCACAAATGCATTTCATGGCAATTACAAAGCATATCATTACAGTCAATTAGTCACAAGAAAATCGTTGCGAACAGTTCGTTATAGACAATCAATTGCATCACTCAATCATGTACATAAAAGTGCAGTGAAAATTTGGCATACCATATACTCACGATTTCAACGAAAGATTCTTTCTCTAATATCTTCACCTTAAATGTGTTTAGGACTTCATGCAAAAATATCATTTTTGATTTTATTCATCTTCTTTAAGTCATTTCTTCGATGACAACTATACACTAAATCGTATATTGTACCACTCCATAATGAATACTTTCTTCAATAAGTTTTGTGTGAAAATCTGAGGTAAAAACCACTATAATGATGAAACAGCTTTCAAACAGATGTATTATGCTTCTTATAAGACTCATGAGTCTGCTCTGCGACATCAACTCTTAGCTGTTGAAAAGTAAAAAAACAAGCCACAAATGTACCGAATTAATGTATTAAGACGGCAAGTTGAGTAGCTGTATTACTCATAGAAAAAACAGAATGATGGAGTGCTTGAATTGAAAACGATAAAAATATTCAAGCCGTTTCAATGAAGGGCAGCATCAAATGTTATTATTTTCAAATGATCATGCCGACATTTTTTGTGTACGTTTAATTACGTTCGCTCCACTAGTTTTGGACATGATGATGTTGACAGATGTTAACAAGTTGCATAGAAGTAATTTGTTTCTTCAAGCATCTCGATTTTCATCGGTATTGCCACAAAGTATTCATACTGCATGCATATTGTCAATAGAGTAAGAGCGCAAAAAGAGAAGAGTATTATTCTATATAGTACCTAATTATAATCAATCCAACATGATGAAAAACGAACGAAACCATTGAATCAATCATGAGTAAGGAGTCTTGACAAGTACCAACCTCGATGACAATATTCTCATCTAATGACTATAAAAATAATAAAGAATTTTTTTGTCGTACTTTCTTTATCGACCACATTTCGAAGAGCATGGACTGATAATCGCAGTGAGTATTTGATAGATCTTCGAGTGAGTCGAAAAGGTTTTTGTTCATGTTGAAGATTGTTCCGCTAACAATCCGTGTGGTGCTCATGGTCACTGTATCGACAATATTGAAGATGAAAATGATCCATGGACATGTTATTGTAAATTCTGGTGGGAGAGAAAATTCTGTGAACATCGTATGTACTATTAAACTCTAGCTAATACAGAATTGCATTTGGTACGCACGCTTTGGGGGGGGGGGGCAGGGGCGGGAGGTAAAATCCGCTAATGGTAAACAAGCTATCGCTATGAGTATTATTACTGGTGTACTTATTTTATTATACCACACATTGGGAATCATTAGTTCGATTTATAAGAAGATGAAAGAACGAAAAAAGAATAGAAATAAGTATGACAACAATTCTTTTGATTCAAGATAGATAGTGTATTGATGTCTTAAGAAAATATGACATGGTACAAACCATGAATACAATAGGAAACGATAAAGAACAATCAGTATTCTTTTATTCTTCTGTCTTAATTTTCGTACTCATGATAACAATTGCTGCTATCGGTCCTTTTATTAAATGGACTATTATTAAGTCTATTTATAATGAAATTGTTGACAAATATTAATGTGGAGTACCTATTTATTATGTTAGAAGTCACTTTTGTGATGTAGTTGAGCACTATCAACTTAATATATTGACTTTTTCAATTTTCTTGTCTATTAATTAATATTTTTATTATTATTTCAAAACGAACTTCATTTATGCGGGATCGATGTCGAAGTTATGTGGCACCAATAATTCCTCACAATTTTGTGTTCATGTGAAACAAAAATTTGCTGCTGTTATGTTTGCTCTCATGTCCAACGACCTGTTAACAATCTTCAATCAAGCCCTCAACGGATATCCTCATAAAGACGATGGCATAATTCTTAGAAAAAAATATTTCATAGATTGATGAAATAAAGATCCGTTTCCCGAAATTGCGTATTTCAAATTTTGTGCCTATTTAAAAAAAAATACTTCTTAAAACAAAAAACCATTTGAGTAGTAACTTAACTAAAAGTTTTTTTTACAGAAGAAGTGAACTGCCAAAGGAAAACTTAATTGGGGGGGGGGGGAGGAGGAAGGAAGGAGATGAAGGGTAAACGTCGTTGTTGGCCTAACTAAGAGGGATTTAGAGAGGAGGGTAAAATCATTTCCAGGAGAACATTATATCTCCATGCCTCCCCTCGCTGGATGGTTATGCCATCATCGTAATAGCAACTCATGTTATGGTATGTTGAATAGAATAATTCTCCCGAAAAATACCGCTTATTCTTAAAAAAGTTTAGCAGGTTATATTTTTGATATGGTCTTTTGAGAAATCTGACATCTTTTCTTTCTCGAGTTTGAGATGGATCGCATAGTTTTGTCGCAATTCTAATTACGCTGAATATAGTTATTGACAAGTCTGATCCCTTTATTGTCTTTCTTTCCATCTCAAATTCTTCATTGGCATCGATATAAGCAAAGATGCTATGATAGAGCCTGATTTCTTGCGTGTCCTTTATCCCCTATTATGCTAAAATTTCATAAAATGAAAGCGGCATTTATAAGAACAGTCAACATAGGTTGAAATTTAACAACATTCAATATATCTTCAGCAACAATTTAAGTAATAACAGTTGAAGGTGGAGAAAGAGAAGCCAATGAAAGATTTTAGCATATTGAAGAAGTCAGGGTAAAGAAGCTAGCAAAAAGACCAAATACTACATCATAATCATTGTTTAATAATCAGTTGAATGATAAAAGTAACCGCGAGAAGAAAACAAAACTCTCTGTAATTAGGGTGAAGTGAGTCATCATCGAACTCGAATGGATTTAAAAATAAACACAAGATTTAGCGTTTAATTTTGAATCGGATAGTAAATAGGATCGGTAAAAATTAATGGTAAACCACTAAAAGCAAAAATCAGGTGATTTGGATCCATATGAATGAGAACGGCTAGTTTCACTTGTAAACAAGTTACTCATTCGCTGCTCGTAAAAATAATTCGTCGACCAATACAAATAAAATATGTTTCTTGACAATTCAATGGCCTGAGCACTAGCCTAGTGTGCCAGTGTCTGGTCGTTGGGTTCGGTTCTCACTCAAGACACGTGATTGTCAACTGGTGTCTGGTAGAGTGAAATGAATCAGCCGTTCTGATTTCTTATTGATTTCACTAGAGCATTATTGGAGGCTTAAAACACAAGTATATATTTTCAAAAAACTATTTTTTGAGTAAGTAGAAATCTAAAAAGACTTGGACTTAATCAGTGTTTTGCATCGTAGCGAAATGTTCGGTACATTTTTCGTTTAGGTGATTGAAGAACAAAATGTTGTTAATTGTCTTTTTAGGTGTGGCTCTTAACTATTTAAGCCGTATATTTCAAGTGTTGATTATTGATGTTCGCTACTATCCCATGTTGGCAGCTGCTTATATTGATTCGATTTTTACATTGGCATGCGTTACAATCTTTACTTGGCTCGATTTAATCATGACAATGCTTCATCAAAGTTATTTTCAGAGCGATTATTACCCCATAGAAAGTGAATATGAGTATTCGAATTCTTCTGTTGAAATCATAAGATATCTTGAATACTAAGGAACTGATTCTAATTTAATAACTATTCAAATCTGCACTTGTATTCCACGATATTTATGTTCAGCTTATGTAAGCATTAAATTACCCATGATGCTGATTAGTAAAATTCGCAGATACAAAATTAATAAAAAGGCACATATGTTAAAACTAACACGCGAAGAACACTCTTTTTTATCAGCTGCTCAACCACATTCAGTTGAAATGCTGTATGTTAGGAATATTTTTCATCCAACCAATGAACGTCCACGTTCTCGGTTGTTTATTGCTCGTCTCATACCAAAATTAATCTATGAATGGCGTGATGACTTTAGTTTTTCATCACGTATTCTCTGTATTTATGCTGCCGTTTTTCTTCTATTGTTCTTTCTTACCATTCAAGTCATTATTCAAGAATTACCTGACATACAAACTTGGCAAGATAATATTCAAGTTGTGGCTGATGCTTTAGTGATAGTCTTTGATAAAGCTGATGCAATTATATCACGAAAAAGGAAACAATTCGCTTTTCCTATACCATCACTCAAAAATCCGTTTATTGTTGCTGTTTTTACAGCATTATTCATTACACTTATTCAAATATTGGTCTTATTAGCAAGTATACGACGAAATTTATTACAAAAATTTCGAGGTTATCATACTGAAATACCAAAACAAAACTTTACTAAGAATGTCATATATGCCATAGGAAATTTTCATTTTGCCGGCTATTTTATTGGTTATGTATTGTGGGGTTACATACTCATTGGCATTTTCGTACTCTTAATTTATGTTACTATTATTTCGTTTATTTTATACGATGCAATGTTTGTTGCCAAAATTCTAAAAAGCATTATTCCTGTTATTATTTCAATTATTTTTAAAGCATATCATAACAAATTTTTTGCTAAATATCTTTTGTTACAACGTCAAGGAGATATTCTTGCCATTAAAAATCAACGAATGTTAATGATATTTCTGTATTTCAATTTTTTCCTTGATGCTTTTCTCGGTCTTCTTTCATCGATTATACGAATCATCAAAAGCATTGTAGTGGGCATAATTTATGTGTCGTCTTGACTATTCACCATTAGGACGTAAATTAGAAAATGTCGATGGTGGTTTTAAGGCTTATTGCGGTTTTATTCAAATGGAAGCTAATCATCGACATCCAGTCATGTTAGCATTTACAAGTATTGTTTTAACTCATATCAAAATAAAACAAGGATGTTCGCCATTATCAACTGAGAAGTCTTCGTCAATAAAAGTGAGACAATGTAATGTGTCATCAAGAGCTATTCGAAAATGGCATTTAACTGTACTATTAATTCGTAATCCTTCGTTGATCTTTCAGAGAAAATATGTTTTGGGCAGGATACCACTAAAACTGGCACACATTACGAATAATTTTTCATTCGGACATTCTTATGATGACAGTTTTGACGCCAGACGTAATACGATCCTGCGTAATAAATACGTCAACAATCTTTCTACTCCATCGAATCAATCAGAAATAATCTCGACGCTTTTTTGATAAAAGAAAAAAAAAGCTTTTTATCGTAAACCCTTGGAGACTAAAATATGGAACTCAAATATCTTGTTTAGCTTCATTATACTAGTACAAAATATGCAAAGTGTAGAAACTCCAAAAGATCATGATTCTTTTCCAACAATATCGATTGTCAGCAAACGCTGTCTTTTTTATTTCTACATTTTGAACAGAAATTTTGTTTTCTTTTCTATTATATTATTTAATTTCCATAATTTATTATTGTTAGTCTAATCGTTGATTTGATGATTACATAACCTGTTGTACACATTCTTTATATCTATAATAAATCTTAACGATTTATTATGCATCTCGATGAGCTCAGAAAGACTGACATTGATTATTCGCGAACGTTAGAACTTAATCAGTTCATTCTTTTGCGTTCGTCATATGGCAGTTATGGAAAATCAAAATATCATCCTTGATATCTATCATATAATCATTGATCTGTAAAAAAGTCAGAAACTGCGTCATTTAGAATATTTAAAAAAAGTATTTCAGACATTTAAATTTCAAGAAAGCCTTTTGAATGTGCTTGAATCTTCGACGCTTTGCTATTAATATCGCTCGGATATAGCAGAGCCGCTAAAGCTTTGATTTAAATTTCCATTCACTGTTACCTTTTTTTTTTGAAAAGTTTTCATGAGTTCCACAAAAGTAAAGCGTTTGGGCAGTTAGCAAAAGACATGTTTCATAGACTGAAACACTATGTCTTAGAAACAGTGAATAATCCATTTATGTGAATGGATAAGGGTTGTTATTTCACGCACACCCTTCAATGCATAAGTCATCCGAACGAACTTGTGCTGATACTGGTCCAACACTCCAGACAGTGTTCAATGAAAAGATGCATTCAATTTTGATCAATGTTACAGCACTGGCAAACTGCTTGGTAGAGAAAAATTAGTGAGCAGCGCTATCAATATTCAATATTGTGATCAATTGACCATTATTCAAATTTTGGCTGAGACAATGGGCCGAGTCAAACTATACATAAATATGCCAAAGTCAGAGGGCATGTTGGAGCAGACTAACGAAACCATCTAACGAGGGAAGGCCACCAACTGTCTCCTCGCTTTTGAACTGAAACTCAGTTGACAATAGGTAATCGAACGTGCTGATTCCGAATACCACAATGGTTTTTGCCCGCTTTCGATTTAAAGACCCATTTTTTAAAGAGCTTGGTTTTTCAATCGAAAAACTATTTTCACTAAAAAATTTTCTTGACCTGTCCAAATGAAAGAACACGTCGTCAAACCTACAGAAAACAATTTTTCAAGGTTCTAAGCGAGGTTTTGAGTGAGTTTTCTGCGTCTAAAACTTAAAAAAAGAGGGAAAAACCGCTAATATTCTTACACAATTTATGAAAGAAAAACTACTATTTTTCTTTCTTGGTGTCAAACGTTATATAACTCTGACACTCCGATAAGAGTGCTAAAATTACATATATTTTTATAGACTGCTGCTCTTATAAATATTTTTCTTCCGTTCTCTGTTNGGTATCCTCTCATTTGCGAACATACAATCGAAAATTCAAAGTTTATTAGATTAAATTATACTGCATTTTCGAATTAATTTGAATTTTTCAGATTAAAAGCGATTAAAAGTGTCAAATTTTCGATTTTTAATTCTTTAAAACTCATTTCTTGAAAAGATCACCAAAAATTAAAGTCGTTTGCTTTTATTATTTAATATCTTTTTACTGAAATGAATTTCAACAATCATTTTGTGTGAAGAATTAAAATTTGTAGAATTCGCTCTTCTTTCTACCTTCTTTCTATTTTTTTAGGGAGATGTAGAGCTCGCTAGTGCTTTTAATACAATTTTATATTTAGTTTAGGAACATGTAGAGTTCGCTAGTGCTTTCAATACAATTTCTATACTGTAGTTTAGGAAGATGTAGAGTTCGCTTGACATATGCTTGCAGAGTTTCGATGTATTCAGCTCTTATTAGTAGAGTGTGCTAAACTACGTCGTGCTCTTCTTTTTCTAAATTAAGTTTCATATTTAGAGTTCATTAGATCGAATTACCAATATGAACGTCATAAGCCTGTTTTTGTATTGGAACTCGATGTAGTTTCTATCCTAACATAAGATCAACAGTCCATTGAAAAGAAACTAATTGGGACCCAAAAATATAATTATTCAACAACGAAAATTGTGGCAAAAATGTAAACGGGACAAGATTTAGGTGTTGGTATTCGAGTTCTCCTGAAACAGCCGTCCACCAAGATCACACTTTGAATGGATATTGAATCATGTTTGTGGAACATCAGAGAAACCATTCAAAGTCTCCCTTCGATCTTCATCAAAAATTTCTTTTTTTTAACCCCTTGCTCGATCTATATTAGGGTTCGTTTTTCAATATGAGAATTAAGTATACCTTTCTAAAAGAATTCATGATTAAGATTAAGATTCATAGTACTTAAACTAAATCTATGACCTTGCTACGTTCCAAAAAAGGTTTTATAAAAAAATCTCACGCGATCAACCTACTTCAGTGATCTGGTTTAAATTGCGACAAGATTTCATTGTCATTTTTTAAAACAATTTATTCGACACTACATATCACTTATAAATCTTGTTTTTGGTGAAGCATCAAAATTCATAATTAATCCTGAGCTGATAAAGCTTTCTGAAGCAAATACCTTGAAATGTGAAACTATTTTTATTTTGCTGTCATGTTCTTACACTAATCTTTCAAAATGAGAAGTGACACCTTCAGACCACATTCGCTTAGCCTCGAACAGACAATACGCGACACTTCTCAATCTTTTTTACATTCAGTTAGATTTATGCTAGATTTTCTAGCAAACTCTACATCTTCCTAAAGTGAAATGTAGAAATTGTATTCAAAGCACTAGTGAACTCTACATCTTTTTAAACTAAAATGTAGAGATTGAATAGAAAACAAGAGCGAACTCTACATCTTCCTAAACTAAATATAGAAATTATATTGAGAGCACTAGCGAACTCTATATCTTCCTAAACTAAAGACGATTCGAATTTGAAAATGAAAATTGTTAAATATGAGTATTTATCAATTAAAACATGAAATTAAAATTAATTAAGTTTTTGTAGTTTTCGAAAAACAAATAGTTTAAATTCTTAACTTTCATTCTGACTGGAGTTTAAAGTTTTAATAATATTTTAAAATTTCATTTTACTTAGGATCGCAAATGAAAAGTAGCCATATAAGACATTCCAAAACAATTATGTTTTCTAATCGATAAGTATCAAATACCAGGCCCAATTGATTCCTATAGTGATTTACAGTGTTTTTTTTACGTTTTCTTTAATTCTGAATTTCAAGCCAAAAACAGTTTTATTTGAAAGAGCTCTTTGAATTATATTTATAGTGGAGAAATCTCGGTGGTTCACCCAAGTAAACTAGATTTTCACAGAGGCAAAAATCATCGTAAATCACTATCGGGACCCATTTGGCCCGGTATTCGATACTCATCGATTAGAAAACATAATTGTCTTGGAATGTCTTATATNTTTTAGAATATCTCATGAGAACCATTTCCTTTGCACTGTTAAAACACACAATAATAAAGTCGAGTCATACCTTATGTTCCTATCCCTCGTTCTTTTTCCAAATAGGCCGAATGGAAAAACAAGACTTATATTCTTATACAGTTATATATACTCTACAAACTGATCATGTTTAAATTCGAAAAATTTGAACTTCAACTTTGGCCACGCTGGGTCGCCGTTAGCCGGACAAGCCGAATACTATGATATTCTTAATGTGCATCTGAATTCACACAAATCAGACTGCACAAGCATAAGGTGCACCAAACCAAGCTTGTGCAGACTATCCTGAGATGTTACTTAGTGGCTGTATTTATTTCGTGGAAAAGTTTTTCATCATTTTTTTGAAAGTTTTCTACTGAAAAACTTAGCAATGTAGGATAGAGATTATTTTGTTGATTTCTTCTTAGTGTAATAGACGTTAATATTTTTGAAGTTTCAAACTATAATGATTATTTATTATATATTAAAACTTGCGATCATAAAAAGTCTTTTCTATATTTTTACTCTCGATTACATCAAGTTTTAGAATGTAATTATCTGTGAATTTAGTTTAGAAAATATAATTACGCTTATCTTATCTCTATAACAATTAGCTGTCATACAAATCAGTTCAACATAGATGAAATCAAAACAAACATTATGATTAGAAACGAATATTATCACAATCGGCTCAAACATAACAAAATAGCTTTTCGCTGAACGAAATATATCATAGCGTAAGATGAAACGAGTCGATGTTTGTCATGAAATGATTTTTGACTTCATTTCGCACCATGAGTCATGTATTTTCTATTTTATCTTCATTCTAATAATTACTGGTATACCCATGGAAAAATTTTTCAAGAAAAAACCGCGGTTTCATAAACCGCGAAAGTCAGACCTTCTATGCGGTTTTTTAAATCGGCGAAAACCGCGGTTTGCAAATACCGCGATGAGAACCGTGAAAACCGTGGTTAGACCTGCAAAAACTCAGCTCGGACCGCGGTTTTCTCGGTTGTCACCGCGGTATTTTCGGAAGAATTTTTCCGTGGGTAAGACAAAATAAGAGCAAATGTAACTAGGTGCGAGCGTGGTTGTAGGTGTTGGCTTGAGCGTTGATCTGGGTATTATCTTTGCCCACACCTATTCACTCAGCCACATCCACACTGCATCCTGAAAACTGCCTTCACACACACAACGAAAGAGATAACTGAGAGTAGACAGTGAAAAAAAGCAAATGATTTACAAACGGTTTTACGGAAGTAAGATGCGACTATTTTCGTCATTCATAAGAAATATATTAGTTGCATTATTCGAATCAATATTGAAATGCCCCGCAACAGCTAACACTTACGTCACTTAGAGGACATGAGTATGGGTCTGAGTCTGAGTCTTCTCTTTACACACACCCACACCCTTCTTTCACACTGCGTTCATATTGCTTTAATTTTTTTACAATTACAGTACTGACGAGAAAATCTTTTATTCAAATTATAACATCACTACTGCTGCCATATGAGAACAATGAGTGGAATGGCAAGACCAATAGCAACAATTAAATTTAAAATAAATAAAGACAATGTCAAGTTATTGTAATTTCTTGGTTCTGGCTTCATATTTTTCGATCCGCTTGGAACTCGTTCCAATTTTCCGTCATTGAGTTCTTGTCCATCTTTACCGTTTTCCATTTTGGTTCCTATTGTGGATGAGTTTGATCGACTTCGATATTGAATAATTTCAAGAACAATAACAATGATAGCAATCCAACCAGCCCAAAGTGATAGAATGATCATAAGACCAGTCAAATAGGTTTTAAGAACGGATGTAATCAAAAAGAGAGTGGGTATCGAAAGTATAAAAGCTAGAATGCCAACAGTTCGATGAATCCAATTAAATATAAACCTATGGGCACTCTGAGGACCACAACGAAATAATCCCATCACAACTTGTAACAGAGTACAACCTATAACGATGAAGCCCAAAGCTGAGTGAGCTTTTACACGTTGCTCATCTCTGTTGCGCTGGACCGATTCATTTTCGCCTTTAGCAAGAATGATTATAAGACCGACTAATATTGTAATAGCAGCCAGTATAACAATGGATCGATGCATTTGAAACCAGATATCTGCACCAAATAACTTGCTTGTATCACCAAAACGTATGCGACGACCATATCGTGCAAACAAAATTCCAGCCGAAGCGAAAACGATCCAGGCGAGTATCATAACAGTGCCATGAACTTGTTCTAATGTAACTATTACTGCATCTGTGGTAGTTGTCGACATTTTTCCTTGATATCGATCTGAAAAACAGAACACTAGTTCACTATTTAATTGTTGCTCACTCTACTAAGTAGAATTCTATTATTTTGTTCACTCAACTTAAGTGCCGTGAATAATTATTACTTTATCATCATTCTCAGAAGAGTACGCCTCTATTTTCTACTTCCATTTTCCAGTCGTTCTTTTTTTCTACATTAACAATGACAATATAACAAGTAACATAAAGAAAATGTTCACCTAACGATATGAAGTCAAAAAGACATTCCGCCAACCTTCTGAAAATGTTAATAGCCTTATAGAATAGATGAAATACAGAGCAGAAGTACGTCAGTAGTTATTATAGCTTTCATCATCATGACAAAGCAAAATAAAAATTTTCTTTGGACAATTTTTGTTAGAGTAAATAAATTTATTATCGACTCTGTGCGCAAAGAACAAACAGAAAAAGAAAAAGAAAAAGAAAAAGAAAATACTACAGTAACCCCATGTGAATATTTTTACAGTCAATGTTGTTAATAACAACAGCTATTTCAGAGGTGTGATAAGTTTTAATTTATACTAAAAAAATTTTATACTTTTGAGTAGAAAAATCTTTGCTGCATCGAATGGTGCAAAAACTATTCAATTATCTTCAAAAAATGAAAATGCGAACAATCGAATTTATTTTTATTAGGAGCACTGTTCCTAATAAGAATAGTAAGAGAAAAATTATTTTTAAATCACTAAATCAGCTGATTTCATAACTACAACTTCAAAATACCTCTTGAACAAACAATATTTTCATTATCAATTAAGAAATATTTATGTCGATGCCCGACTTTTTATCACTCATGCTGACTTAGATATTAACTTTGTTAAAAAAATGCCTTTTTTCTTCTTATTAGGAACACTTTTTCATAATAAGAATAGACTATGTAGAATACATAGAAAATCAACTTTTATCAGTCAATGAACTTTTTCTATGACTCAATTTGGAAATCTTGTTTGTGCATGTTTCATAAAAATGTTCTGTGATTGATGATCTATACATTTCCAGTGATTCAAAGCAAACGAGATTTTGTTTTCTTTATTATATTGATATAAAATATGGTATCTAGTAATGAATTATTTATTTATAGTTGTTTAAAAAATTTTGAACACATTTTTTAAGCTAATAAAATCATTTACTCAAGTATTGATATATTGGTGTATGAAAAGTACGAAAAATTCATCCTGAAAGTTATATATACTTGGTGAAATTGTTCAATCTACATTCTTAGAATCAACTTGACTGAAATTGCGTACATCGTTGTCAAGCTCTTTCGATTTTTCTCGATTATTACGTTTTTCTGCTGATGTTGGATAGTACTCTTATGTATCAATATATTTTTCTATAAATTTCGATTATTCAATTCATATGTCGATTGATATGCAGATTTATTAAATCGTTGTGACCTTTTCTTGAATAAGTTGAATAATTTCGGTGTATCTATTAATACAAAGTATAAGCAATATTTTTACAAAGAAGTTACTTTTTTGATGACTCTAATTTTGCAATAAATTTCTAACCTATTCTCCGATCTCATCATTAAATCAAATTAAACAAACTAATAAGAACATATCTAAGAGATGCTGTTTGAGATAAAGAAAACGAGAATCAAGAAATATAAATAAAAGTTAGAAATATCAAATGATTTAAAATGTTAATGTAGTTGCAATTCTAGCTTTCGATATTATTCATGTACTTTAACAAAAAAAAACAATATTCTACTCATTAGAATAAAAATTAGCCACGCCTATAGCTCTTAGGACACCGTCTTCTAACAATAAAGCTTTTGATCAGAATAAAACTATTTTATTCCTTTAAACCTATAACAATGACAATGTATCAATAATACACCAACAGATATCTACGTTCAAATGGGTAATTTTGTACTCAACAACTATTATTATGTTTTTGTTGTTTCTCTTTTCTAATCAGATTTCTTTCTGCTGCTTTATTTCGATTGAACAGAACTCTTTTATTTACGTCTTATCTTTATAAATGGTAGGAACATTGTATAGTTTATCACTTTCAGAATAGTAATTCTTTTTGTTTTTATTTTCTAAACATATGCACATTCATTACGTATAGAAGTGTTTACGAATTGTGGTATCACATACTTAATCCTCATTATTTAAAATATATGAGACCAAATAAATGAAAACGAATTGGACAACAGTAATAAGCTTCTTCTTTTCTATAATATGTTTATTCTATTAAAAACAAATGTATTTGGTTTTCAATTGCAAGTATCCTCTTGAATCAATATTCTCGAACATACAATTGTTTGCGACATTTTATTTAATTTTTTGTGAGATTTTCTTTATAGCAAAAGCAGCTCAAACTAAAAAGAAAAGTTGTAGAGACGCTGCGAAATTTCATATTTTCAATTTATACGAATTCATCGCCAAGTTTTCATCGTTCAACTGACATATTATGTAACTGTACTTCAGCAATTTCAAATTTATCCCATTGATAAAAAAGCAGACCTCTGTTTGCCTGAAAATTTATAAATCATCATTCAGAGAACATTTTTATGAAGCATGCACAAGTAAGATTTCCAAGCTCAGACATGAAAAAAAATTCACTAACTAATAAAAATTGATTTTCTATGTATTTTACATAGTCTACTCTTATTAAGAAAAGGTGTTCCTAATAAGAACAAGAGAGGTATTTTTTTTAACATAATAAATATCTAAGTCAGCATAAGTGATGAATAGTTAAATCTTGATATAAATATTTCTTAATCGATAACAAGCAACGCTTGTCGCCACAACTTGCTATAAATCCTTGGCTTAATTCGATCTACTCATCATCTCTCACCATTTGCTGAATCCTGTTTTACAAACTATCGCCAAACACACATGGTCATACAAAAGAACTGCTTATAATATTGTTAGAGACAACCATTTTATAAAAAAGACCAAATCTTTCTATTGAGATTTTCTAATGTGAACCTTAAGAGACAGTTCGTAATACACCATCAGTAACCTTTTGGATCGTCATTCCCAACTGCTTAATTTCGCCTATGATAAGGGTATATATTTAAAGCGATTCTTTCATTTCTTTTTTGTTCAGGACATTTAAGTAGTACTAAATAAACCTATAGAAATACACTTCTTATAAACATGTTGGCTACCAACTGTTTTTACTCAATGAAATAAACTATTAGTGAATTTAAAGGAATGAAGTCGATATTTTAGGTAGTATAATAGGAATTCAACTCACAAGGATGCGATGCTAGTTCTCATGGTCTCTCTTCTGACCGATTCATTTCTAATAACTCACTCGTGGTCATCAAAAAATTATTGTATGAGAATCTTTTTTTAATACTTGAAGCATCCTGAAATTCTCGTTTTTCGTATTCTCTGAAACAATAAATATTCTCGTAGGCAGCAGAGAGTTTATTGTGTTTTTTGTTTGGCACTCTTCCGATTGAGACTCAATAGATGTTAATATACAGGTAATGCTCATCCTATGGAATCGTTGATCCTTTTCTGAAACAGGAAGATGTTTCTGTGCTTTTAAAATGAAATTTTCGTCTAAGTCTCATCATAATTATTCGATCGATCATGTTTCTGCTTGTCGCTCACAGCAACCCACATTTTCATGTAACCTCTTCTTCAGTCTGACACAATAAAGTCAGCTTCAGGTCAATTGTAATAGTTATTCTTGGTTCGTAACTCTTTATTGCTGTGTGTTTGTTTCGTTTAAACAATCATATTGCCGTATATTAAAAGTTATCTCGTAAAGTCTAGATGAAAATGCTCCCTTCTCTTTGAATAGAAGGTGGGTAAAAATATTTTTTCAGGAGAATAATGCTGTCATTTCAATTAGTATCAATAACAAATTTTATACCAAATTAAAGAATGTCGAAAATGACATTTATCAATACTAAATAGCAAGGATTATGGTAACTTTTCATCGTCGAATTCAGGAAATTCGTAAAATTATACGCCATATCAGCAGAGAAAATTCCTTTCATGAGTTAGTTCAAATGAGATCTCATATAAAACGAAAAATATCACAAATTACTGGATATCTGATGTGGAAATATTGGAACAATGATCAAAAATAAAGCTGAAGAAAATTGTTTTCAGAGACAGAACACAATTGTTTTGATTAAGAAATTCTAAAAAGAAGAATATTTCATTTGTTTTGACCAAGATGGAAACGAATACCGATCTACTTGGACTTATTTTATGCTCGTATCATTCTTGTCTTCCTACAATAGAAACACTGATGATCGTCATAATGATTATTGATAATATTCATTAAGCTATAAAAAATACATTACTTTTCTATATTCATCATTTTATGTGAGATATAGTTTGAACTTTTTCATGGAAAGATTTTGTTCACTGTTGATATGGCGTAAGATTTTAGGGATTTCCTCAATTCAACACTGAAAAGTTACCATAATCTTTCCTATTTAGTATTGATAAATCCCATTTTCGACGTGCTTTAATTTGGTATAAAATTTGTTATTGATGTTATTTGAAATTATAGCATTAACCATCCGCTGGAAAAATACTTTTAGCCACCCTTTACTTTCTATATGTTTGACTTCTTCAAAAAAAAACTGTTTCACAGACTTGATTTCGAAAAATAATTTTTCAGCTTTGTGCCACTTTCGGACAATATTTCAGCCCATCGAACTCAGTCGTTAGAGAGTATTTCTATGGATTACAATCGTCTGAAGAAAAAGAGTAACATCAGTCAATTTGTAGAACTACTCTTTCTTTATAAAATAGTATTTGATTATCTAATTAAATACATGAGAACTAATCAAAAAATATTTTGCCTATAATTTTTTCACGAAATCCAATTCATCACTTAATCTTTCTATATTTTTGATCAGAATATTCAACTAGACAAAGCAATACACTTTCTTTTATGAAGAAATTCCGTATCCCCATCAGGAAGCCTTTCCGTGTAAGAAACAGCCGCAGATATTTATGACGATATATATTGATCAAAG